CCCCAAAACCCCAAAACCCCAAAACCCCAGTATAAATAGTAGGGCTTGAAATATAATAGATAATATATTATCTAGCATACTTCTAGCAATGTCAACTTTAACACTCAATGATTATTTGGCCCCACAAAAGCTGGATAGAGCCATCAAAAAGAATGCACTCAGACTGAAGAAAAGAGGAGAATTAACTAAATTACCTCCAAAGGGAAAGAATTCATCTAACAAGCTGGAGAAGATCAGCAAGTTTCAATATATCTTGGACAAAGGTATACATCTTCGCTTTTGCATTAAGTCTTACAGCTTTATTTTTTGTAGCAAATCTAAGAGTTCTTATTGCAAATTTCTTTTAATGTCGTATTTTTGGTGATCTTTTACTAATTTTAACCTCCTCGAATAAAATTTTTACCTAAATACGCTATCAATACCGTGAAATCTAAATTTTCTATTATAGATGAGGAGGCTGTAATGAAAGTAAAAATGGGGCACTCGAGAAATAGAAAGATTTCACAAACAAACCTAAAGCTAGCTTCTTTGTCAAAGATTGACATGAGAAGAAAGAGTCGTATGAAGTCCTCCTTCGGAACACTACCTAGTTTACAGAAGAGGAAGATGAGTCGATCATTCGCTCGCAATTCAACAACACAAGTTATCCCAATGCTTTCCAATTTCCAGGACTTGTTCCAGATAAGTACGCCCTTTTTTGCTATAATCTGACTGATTCCTCTAGATAATTCCCCTTTCAAATTCAAGAATGAAAATGAGAACACAAGAAATAAATTATCATCAGGAATGAACTCTATGACCTTAAAATCAGATTTCCTGGGCGAAAAATGTGCTTCTCCTCCCATACTTCCGATGTACAAAGAAAGTAATACTTTTCTTCTAACTTTATTAGAGCTTGTAAACCAGTTTTCCCCCTTAAAGATCAAAGAAGAAAAGAAGAATTTCTTCAACTTTTCTGATGTGTCTTTAATGTCCAACAACACATCCTTGCCTTCATTGTCCAATGACAGTGGGAAGCCATTCAAAAAGTAAATTTTTCATCCTTCGGTGTGTTTCACAGCGGTTTAGTATAAGTTTTCCATTTCATGCACAAAAGATTTCTCAGCGAAATTTTCAAATTGCTAAACTTTGACTATTAAATTATAATCTAATCAAACTTGTAGGCTCAGAATAGTTCCATTCAAAAAGACCACAAGCGCATTTGGCAATAAAATTATCAAGAACAAGAAGGCTAGCAAAATTATTAAATTCAGAAAGAGGTAAGCAAAACTTAAAATCCAAAAATACCCGTTATTACTACCACTAAGAGACGAATAATAAACGTCCGCCCAAAACTAGCCTAGTTTATAGAACACTCTTGTAGAAATGAGGAAAGTGTCTTAAGCTGCTACCATTTTGGCATAATTGGTTAGAGTCCCACCGTTTTTAGAGCATACATAAACCGATTTGTTAAAGCCACTGTAATTATATCCTCTCAGTTTGGAATAAACCGGGATATGTTGGCTTGATATATAAAGTTAGACGAGTCGTGAATTGAGAAGCACTCTAGGAGTTTAATTTTAGGACTTCTGTCCCATGAAAAAATGTGCTAGTACTAATTTCAGCTCTAGGTTAATGTCAAATGAAGGATCTCAAGAAAGCCCATACCCTGTATGAAGTGAGGGATCATTAGCACAATAAATTAGTATATGTTCATTTTCAATTGATAATTCACCTGCTGGGGTTTTGGGGTTTTGGGGTTTTGGGGTTTTGGGG